AAAATAAATTAAGAGGTAATGCTTTCTCCATCATTGCGGCTGGCAGAGGATAGAAAAAATTATTTATAGTTACGTTGTTCTGGAACTGTCATCAGTGGTCAACTAAACTTGCTTAGATTTATTCATTTTGTTCCTGAACTAATTTTGTTTAAATAAAGTTAATATTTATTTTATATATATATATAAAAAAAAAAATTAAGAACCTGCATTCTCAAATATATATAAAAAATATAAAACATGTTACGCTTCACTTACGTGAAGGCACTTTTGCTTACGTCACAGCACACTTTGCTTATATCACAACACTCTACGTCACAACGCTCAATAGTACTACGAAACACCATTCTCTCTACGTACCTTGATGATGCAATTCGAAAGCTTGGGCTATATTTCTTGTGCTTTTCTTCCGAAATGAACTTCGAACACTTTTTAGCGGAATTTTCACCTTGTTTGAGAAGAATTATTTGTAATTTCGAAAAAAGTCGATCATTAAAATTAGCCGATAAAACTGTCCATCGTTTTTAATAATATCTACCTTAAAAAACAAAAAAAAAAAAAAAAAAAAACATACATTTTCCGCCTAAATACACAGAATTTAAAAAAAAGATATGTATTAAAGATCCCATCATCCGCAGTTAAATACATTCTCATATTTATAAAAAAAATATTCGAGCTACTTTCTTTTAAACTTAAAATTTTAATTTGATTTTTATCTTCGAATTTTATCCATCGAATTTGTCTTTGAGATTATTTCGTGTTTATATTTATTTTATAATGTTATTTTCACACCGGGACATATTTATATAACTTTTATTTATTTATTTTGTTTCACTTCAGCAGTTCTTTAGAATATATTTTGATTTGAAACAGCAATAATATGAAAATTCCATTTATGGCATCCCCAAATGTCTCGTCAATCGTCAGTAGGCCGTTACAAATGTTTTTAAAGACGTCACTGAGAGACGTAAACTCCCCAAATAGCCACTGCCCCATCCATTTAGATGTTGGATTTTGGAATCAGTTTTACATCGACATAATCAATATATCTGCCATTTGATCTGGCATCTTAGTTAACATCAGTAGTCTTACAGAGCTTCACTCTTATTGGTGAATCGAGTTTCGTTAAACGAGAAAAGGTCGTCTGGGATGGCCGAGCTTATATTCTTGTCCTGTTTACGGCATTTCTGAAAAGCGGAGAGCTGTTAGTTGGAACTTTATGGCGTGATCATATTTTATTCTCGGTAAAGAGTTTGGTTATATTCATCAACCGAGAAAGCTGCACCGTAAGAGTAAATGACCTCAAGCAATATCTAAAACATTGGCGATAACAGTTTTATATTGGTAAGTGTTCGGCACACGCGAAAGACAAACATACACAGCTACAAGTGAAAGGCGTCTGGTGGAGTGTCGTAGTTAGCAAAATTTTTACTCAGAAGAGTAGTAGGTAATGAAGTTCTTTACTCACTGGGTCCCCTACGACTGAGCAATGAGAATAATGATTCGTTGAAATGATCCTTTCTTACGTGTGTGGAATATTTCGAGACTGTTTTGGCATTATGACAGTCTGAGGCTAATTAATACTGACTGGAAAGAAGATAAAAGAACACAAAATACATTCGGGCAGACCAGCTAAGAGAAAGGAAAAGACAGAGAAGAAGAGAGAAGAGAGAAAAGAAAGAGTGAAAATATTAAGGAAGTAAGAGGCGCAAACGGTTTACTTATATATATATATGTGTGTGTGTGTGTGTGTGCGTGTGTGTGTGTGCGTGTGTGTGTGTGTGCGCGCGCAAAATTCTGAGATTTAGTATATCTGTAAAAAGACAATCTGAAAAAGACAAAAGTAAAACTTATCTTAGCTGAGGCTATATATATAAAAACACACACACACAGATATATATATATATATATATATATATATATAACTAGACTCGTTTCGAAAAACCCTCGAATTTTTGATTTGCTAATCAAATCAATCTCGAGGGAAAAAAAGATTTTAAAAAAAGAAAGAGCTACAAACATGAACTTCTGCCGACAAAAAAATCGCACAGATGCAGGTCTGAAGCCCAAAGAAAAAACCCCGATACGAGTAACAACTAACTAACAAAAGAGCTCAATACAACCGTAGAGCAGACCTAGATACACCTAGTGAGCCAGACAAACCTACCTAGGTTTTCACCTAAACGGATCGTCAGGGAAAGTTTCCTGGCGATCCGTTTAGGTGAAACCTAGGTAGGTTTGTCTGGCTCACTAGGTGTAATATATATATATATATATATATATATATATATATATATATATATTTGATTGAAAAAATTACAGATATTGTGTCTGCTAATTTTTAACAAAATCCGTTCATACTCACGAATATTTTTCCGTATATTGCTATTAAAGGATGAGAGAAATGTTCTCGGGATGGTACTCCGTTGTATTGTCTTGTGTATCTTTTCCGTTTGTTGAGTGTTATCAAGTTAACATTATTTACTTCATTCTGCCTTTACACAAGGCCACGTTTAAATTGCCAGGTGATATTGTTCTGGTGGGCTGCTGGATTATATATGTATTTAGACAGCAAATTCTTTTTTTAGGCATGTCCGATTCAATAAATTACAGACATTATGTCTGCTAATTTTTAACAAAATCCTTTCATACTCACGAATAATCTTCCGTGTATTGATGTTAAAGGATGTGAGAAATGTGCTATAGTTGTTTAAATTTCTTTTATTTTCATTTCACAAGTACATACAGGTTGTATCAAAAATACTTTTATAAGCTTTGGGGAAGTTTTCCACATAGCAAAACGACAAAACTACATATAAACATATGTCCGCAAATCCTTCGTTTTTTAATTATTATGTATAAATAAAGTTTACAGTAGGTGACGCTGTGTTGTCATGTAGACTAGGTTACATTTCTCATTCGTGTAGATTTGTAGCTCGTCCGTCTTCAACGCTTAACGTAACGTGGGTAGTAGCGAGTTAATTGAGAAGTGTTCTGAATGGATATTCATATATTCACGCGACCGTATGTAAAATTCATATCTGCCTGCTCCCAATATGAACATCCTGGATGTTCTATACTTTCGGCCTTGTAATACCTCTAAGCTCCGTTTAGTATATCGCTACCTACCTTTTTGGATGCGGGCTATTAAGTTGTTCTATGAGTATTGCTTCAAGGATCATGAGTTTGCTTTTACTATTTGATTTGAGACTCACAAATTTTCTCAACCTGCCCTGAGAATGACGGAAGAAATTTGGAGGCTTGCATCCTATTTCTTTCGAAATTAACTTCGGGCAATTTCTAACGAAATTTGGAAAACTCGACCATTAAAATTAATCGACACAAAATGTCTGTTAATAAATAGATAGTACTTTTATCTCAGGTACTTCCTTTGTAGCGTGCTGCGTATCTCTTGCTTCCGTTTGTTGAGTGTTATAAAGTTAACATTATTTACTTCAATCTATCTTTTCACAAGGCCACGTTTAAATTGCCAGGTGATATTGTCCCGGTGGGATGCTGGATTATATAATTTATAATTTCTGTATTTAGACAGCAAATTCTCTTTTAGGAATGTCTGATTGAATAAATTAAAGATATTATGTCTGCTAATTTTTAACAAAATCCGTTCATCCTCACGAATAATCTTCCGTATGAAAGGGTGAGAGAAATGTGCTCGGGATGGTATTCCTTTGTATTGTATTGTGTAGCTATGTCTTCCGTTTGTTGAATGTTATCAACTTAACATTATTTACTTCAATCTGCCTTTTCACAAGGCCACGTTTAAATTACCAGGTGATATTGTCCCGGTAGGCTCCAGGATTATATAATTTAAAATTTGTCTATTTAAGCAGCAAATATATCAACCTCGCAATCCGGGTTTCGACGGTGAGGCTCCTCAGGCAAAGGAGACCTCACGGTCGAAACCAAGTTTGTGAGGTTGGTAGGGTTTTTGACCTTTTCTTAAATATCTTTATTTCACCCTAGGCAAGGCGAAGACGCCCCTAAGACGCAAGGAGTTATTGGGTGTGAAAGAGAACGAGAAGACTTTAGTGAGAAGAAATGACAATAAAATAACGTGTTTTGAGATGGTGATTGAAGTTGCATTTACATCTTTGAAGATTGTAGGTGGCAGGAAAACAAGGGCAGATAGTTCCACAAATGAGAGGTACGAGATAAGAAATGATTAGAATTGAACTTCCGGTTACATCGAGCTATTTCAACTGTAAAACGATGGGTTGAAATCTATGTAACTGAGAAGTGACATTTTAGTGGTTAGACAAAATCAAGCACATACATACAGGATTGCGTAATTCCTCTCCACAACTAGACACATTTTTTGTCTCTGTATTGCTTCGTAGTTTTGAAATAAGGCGTCTCTGGTGACGAAAGAAACTAATAAAAGGAATTATTATCTGCCTTTCCTCAGAACGTCAATAGAAAATAACCTGACCGAAATTCGTACTACTATTTAAAATTTTTATTGATATAACCTATGTCATTGATCTCTAAAATAAAATATGTGTGCAAATATATATCACGAAATAATATTCAAGGGCGTCTACTGTAGAGTGAAGGATAATAAACAGAGAGGTGCCTCCCACTGAGTGAGAGTCGACAAACTGAATGTCGCTTACCACAGAGTGATGATAAAGGAACTACACGCCGCCTACCATAGAGTGAAAATTAAGGAACTGAATGTCGCCTGTCATAGAGGGATAATTAAGGAACTGAATGTCGCCTGTCATAGAGGGATGATTAAGGAACTGAATGTCGCCTATCATAGAGTAATGATGAAGAAATTGAATGTCGCCTACCATAGAGTGATAACTAAGGAACTGAATGTCGCCTACCATAGAGTAATGATTATGTAACTGAATGTCGCCTACCATAGAGTGATAATTAAGGAACTGAATTTTGTCTGCCATAGAGTGATGATTAAAGAACTGAATGTCGCCTACCATAGAGTAATGATAAAGAAACTAAATGTCCCCTACCATAGACTTTTAATTAAGGAACTGAATGTCGCCTGCCATAGAGGGATGATTAAGGAACTGAATGTCGCCTACCATAGTGGGATGATTAAGGAACTGAATGTCGCCTACCATAGAGTAATGAATAAGTAACTGAATGTCGCCTACCATAGAGTGATAATTAAGGAACTGAATGTCGCCTGCCATAGAGGGATGATTAAGGAACTGAATTTCGCCTACCATAGAGTGATAATTAAGGAACTGAATGTCGCCTGCCATAGAGGGATGATTAAGGAACTGAATGTCGCCTGCCATAGAGGGATGATTAAGTAACTGAATGTTGCCTGCCATAGAGGGATGATTAAGGAACTGAATGTCGCCTACCATAGAGTAATGAATAAGTAACTGAATGTCGCCTACCATAGAGTGATAATTAAGGAACTGAATGTCGCCTGCCATAGAGGGATGATTAAGGAACTGAATTTCGCCTACCATAGAGTGATAATTAAGGAACTGAATATCGCCTACCATAGAGGGATGATTAAGGAATTGATGGTCGCCTATCATAGAGGGATGATTAAGGAACTGAATGTCGCCTGCCATAGAGTGATAATTAAGGAACTGAATGTCGCCTGACATAGATGGACGATTAAGGAACTGAATGTCGCCTACCATAGAGTGATAATTAAGGAACTGAATGTCGCCTACCATAGAGGGATGATTAAGGAACTGAATGTCGCCTATCATAGAGGGATGATTAAGGAACTGAATGTCGCCTGCCATAGAGGGATGATTAAGGAACTGAATGTCGCCTGCCATAGAGGGATGATTAAGTAACTGAATGTCGCCTGCCATAGAGTGATAATTAAGGAACTGAATGTCGCCTGCCATAGAGGGATGATTAAGGAACTGAATGTCGCCTGCCATAGAGGGACGATTAAGGAACTGAATGTCGCCTACCATAGAGTGATAATTAAGGAACTGAATGTCGCCTACCATAGAGTGATAATTAAGGAACTGAATGTCGCCTACCATAGAGGGATGATTAAGGAATTGAATGTCGCCTATCATAGAGGGATGATTAAGGAACTGAATGTCGCCTGCCATAGAGTGATAATTAAGGAACTGAATGTCGCCTGCCATAGAGGGATGATTAAGGAACTGAATTTCGGCTACCATAGAGTGATAATTAAGGAACTGAATGTTGTCTGCCATAGAGTGATGATTAAAAAACTGAAAGGTACTTTCTCGACAGTGATGTTTAATAGTCCCTGAGTTTTAATATCAATCTGTTTTCAACTACTATCCCATTGGTCCAGACTCTACTAAGATTTATATCTATACCTCACCCATAGGTCTACACTAGAAAAAACGCCTGCCGTAGAGTCATGCTTGATGTAGAATTAAAACGCAGATGAGAATATTTGTGATAAGTGATTAGAAGAAGAAGAAGGACAAGGATAAGAAGAACAAGAACAAAAAGAAGAGGAAGAAAGGAAGGAAGGAAGGAAGGAAGGAAGGAAGGAAGGAAGGAAGTGTGGGGCAATTGATAATTAAATGATAATATGATTTGAGTGCAGAAGTAAAAGTAGTAAGAAAAAGAGAAGAGAAAGTTAAAAATGGTGGGAAGAGATCAGATTAAGAAGGAAGGAAAAACGGAAATAAATTAGGACAACAGAAAAAAAATAAAAGAAAAGTAATAAAACAAACGGAGAGAATGAAAGGCGAAACAGAAAACGATGAAGGAAACGAAGGCAGATAGCATTCATTTTGAAAAAAAAAAAAAAGGAAAGAAAGAAAACATTTCTGGAGAATGCTATCGAAAAATAGTAATTATTGTTTGAGTTACCATCTGCGGAATTACTATCATTATGTTTGTTTACATTTGCGAGAACATCATTATTCCCAGTTCCCGCGCTTTTTTTCTACAGGCAAGAGTTATTTCCCTTTAAATGTTTTATTTTGTCAATAGAAGCCCGCAGCAAAATGGTCTTCCATGTAGAGACCAATAGGATTCAGTGAGCAACCGAAAAACAAACTTTTTCAACAACTATCATTTAAAATTTCCTCAAAACAAACAATTATAGTGGGAGACATTTTTACTGTGGCTGATGATTTCGAACGAGTAATTAAAATAAACAAAAGCTTCTTTGTTGCTTTTAAAGCAAATTTATTATCATTCTCATTATTATTATTACGAGCTGTTAATATCAACTACGATATCAAGTCAGGATTTATTAGACAAATGCACGAAACCCTGTACAGACACACACAAACAAATGCACATATACATATGTGTGTAATTATAAAAGTTTCTTTAAAGAGCAATGAAGTGCCTCTGTTAAGAGATTTAAATTTCTTTCTGTTATTTAATGAAGAGCAGACATTGCGTTGATTTACCTCATATATATATATATATATATATATATATATATATATATATATATATATATATATATATATATATATATATATATGCATGTTTCATTAAAAAACGACAGACAAGGTACTACGGTTGAGCTTTTTATTTAATTTTTCTTGTGTTCTGACAAGAGCTTTCTTTTCTGGACAAAGGGTGTTTAAGAACTGTCCGAATGTTTTATATTTCCGAGCGCTTTCGGCTATACCTTTAGCCATTATCAAGGATGATTCGATTATCAGCTTAGTAGAGTGTGTGCGTTCTGTGTATGTTCGGTGTGTGGTAGGGATGTTTTTAATTTCCGAATACGGTTAGCACATTATGGCTTTGTTCGTAGTTAATATTGTTAAGAGTTGGCTTTTTCTTTTTTATTATTAAAGCTTCCATTACTTTTAGTCTTTTATTTTTTTTTAATGTCCGTCGTTTTTAATGAAACATGCATAAAGGAAGGATTGCTGCCTAAATATACAACTATATATATATATATATATATATATATATATATATATATAGAGAGAGAGAGAGAGAGAGAGAGAAATAGAAAGAGAAAGGGAGAGGAGTGGACATTGGATGAACACCAAGAAGTAGCAGTCTGTTTCACGCTTGGACGCTATAGATATATCCCTGATATTGAGCACGTTTATCCATAAGTAAACCATATATTAAAACTATATCTTTAAAAATATACGACAATTGACAGTCTGTTGTTTGAACCCTGGCTCATATGGATATAGGATCTTAGGATTTATCCATTATACTAAAAGTAATTTTATCCTTTTAACAGCTGCCGATGCTATAATGATAAGCTCTTTGCAATGAATAGAGCACTCTGGCAGCTGATAATGCCATATTACGTATATAATGAGTAAAAAATTTAACTTAGTGATAAGAGTCTCCGAATAACCAAAATGGAGGTTGGAAATAAGATGGTGATCTTTATAACATAAACAAAATTCAATACGCGCCAGCGGCGTGAATAGGTAACCCACTCCCAGTGGTGGACTACTTAGATATCATATTACCCCCACTTACAGTAGTGTCCAACGAATTTATGGGGATTGGGACATACCCATTAGTGATCATAGGTACGGTATATAACAGGTTATTTTTTATTAGTTTTAGACATTTTTACTGTTAAAGATGTTTATTTGTGTTCTACATATTGAAGTAAAATATTAAAGTTGGTATGTTTTCGCGTTGATTTACACGTGTTGTTATAGACCTATGACTCCAGAGATGTAAGTTTAAGTTGATAAACGGGTAGTTGTAATAACTGATATAATTATTCATAGATTAGTCTTTTCAACAACACAATTTCATATTTTCGTAACTGGATATCTTATTTATGATTATTTTTATGTTATCGTTAGTTTTGTGGTTTGTTTTTAAAAATGTTATCAAATTCAGCCACGAACTTAATGTATTTCATTAGAAGGGGACTAAAACAAACACTGATGTTAAGATGCAAAAAAAAAAGAGTCGTTTAAAAATCACGAAAACAACAAAGCACAAAAAGAAAAAATAACTTGCCATATATAAAGTCTTCAAAAAGGTCGCAGAGGCCAATATAGGTAACAAATGAACACACAGGACAAACAAGTTTTTGAATAAATAAAATACGATGGAAAACCTAGCATGTACCTAATGCAAAAATACATTCAATTATATATATATATATATATATATATATATATATTAGGTTGGTGCAAAAATAATGACGTAATAATGTCGTTTTTGCCGTTAAAAATACATCAAAAAACGACATTATTACGTCATTATTTTGCACCAACATATATATATATATATATATATATATATATATATATATATATATATATATATTTCCTCCCACTACCATAAAAACACCGATATACGCAACCATATATAAAACCAAAATTTAAAAATGAACCTGTTTGTCTGACGATAGCACATAGCGTGAAACCCAGGGTCACAAACTCACACCAATCCAACTTATATGGGATCATATTAAACATAAGATACAACAATATCCACGTTTAAAACATAAAATGTAAGGTACATTTCGACCGACACATTTTCAAACACAATCGTCGGTAATCTAAAACGGAGTATTAACAAGAAAATTTTTTATTAATACCGTAATAAAACAGGATGGTAAGGGGGGGGAATTGTTTTGCCTCAAATCATGTAACCGTTCTCTCAAATAAGGCCAACTTAAACTTCATCTCCCGTTGTACGCAGAGGGCCGGCCTACGTATGTTCATAATAACAGACTCCAAAATGTCGAGGTGGAGTCTGTTCCTAGCCCTGTGCAATACCGAAAAGAAATGTGGAGAATACTCAGTCCTACAAACTCCAGAATTTAATAGATGTTCACTGATAGCAGAGGCATGAGTCTGCGAACACCCGGATGTCACAAACTCATGTCTGCGCACGCAGCCGGGGACATGTTGGGTGATTCTAACCTCAAGCCTCTGGATAGTTTTTGCCCACATAGTCGAGCCCGCATCGACATTTAAATTGATAAATAACTAAATTATTATGGTAGGTAGGCAAAACATCCTTACGGCAAGGGGGAAGGCCCTCCTGGTAGTAAATATGTTCCTGACTGTAACGGCATTATATATATATATAT